TAAAAAAACTGGTAAAAAAGTCGAAAAAATGTTAAAAACGGCATTTGGTCTTTGTTTACGACGAGAAAATTAGAAATTGACTCCTTATTGTAGGCTGCTTATCTCATTTAATCCACTTTCCTCGACTAACTTAGAAATTTCACGTTATTCTCTTGCAGGAAAAAAGCAAAAACGACGACGTCATGTTCGTAAGATCGGCGTTGTTATTTCTTCTCCTTAACCTGACCGGAGCGATGATGTTCAGGTTGAAGAGGAATGACGAAATCGAGAATCCTGAAGACCCCAAGCGCCCCAATTATGGTTTGTTACCCAAGTTGAAGAATGGCGAGAACGAGATTCCTGAAAACTTCAAGCGCTCCATTTATAACGGTTTGGTCTCCAAGTTGAAGAATGACGAGACCGAGGAACCTGAAGAGCCTGAGCCCACCAAGAATACCAAGGCTTTGGGCCGCCCTGGTTTGTAATTTGCTTGTTTGTTTGTGCTTACTCTACAACATGTTAGTTTTTACGTTTACAAAGTGAAAATGTTTGTATCTTAAAAACTCGAACACGGAGAACCAATCAAGTATTTTTTACCTCTCATTAGCGAAAGGGACAGCGCTGCCACTGATATATTGTGTCTTAATAAGTATGACCAGGAGCTCCAAATAAATTGAGAAAAGAACTTGAAAAAGCGAAGAACTATCAGATAAAATAATGACTAAATTTTTACAGGATGGCAATTTTGATATCTTGACATCCTGTCGCAAAGTCAAATTTGATGAGCTGTAATCCACCTCCATCCTTGAAATCCTGTGCTTCTTCCTCAAAATACTCGTTCTAGTTTGCGTTTTAGAATCTTTTGATCCAATTTAGTTGTGTATTTGGTTATATTTGGCGATATAATATGGAAATTAGGAAAGGGAACTTTCAATAATCTGAATAATCAGCAGCAACACTGTCCCTGTCTTAAGGGCAGCGACACTGTTCACTGTCTTGAGGGTAATCAGTGAAGATAGGTAACATAGTATGAAGGTACAGTATCAACGTTTTCGTACACGCTTACGTACACCATAAAAAGGCAGTTTTAAAATAGATTTCATGGCCCGGACTGGGTTTGTCGTCTTACTCGGCTACACGTCATCACTTTCCCACACAACGTCGAATTTGAATCGTCTTATGTTAAAAGTAGTGACAGCGTGAACCTGTTTTAGAATTGTTAATACGTTTGTTAATCACATTGACAGTTCAAACTGACTTCTTTTTCAGAGGGTAGAGCTCCTGGTGATTGCATTGCTTGTTTCCTGATAGAATGTGGCTTCCCAGCCTTTGGATGCTTAGGTGCCGGTCCTGCATACTTAGGCTGTCTGACAGCAGCCTGTGGCGGTGGTATATTGGCAACCGTATGCTTGGCAGATTGCTTTCTTCCTATTTAGGTCATGCTCTCAGCCAGTGCAGTCAAGAATGGATACTAGTAATTGTAATTATTAGATATCCAAACGGACCTTATTACCAATGGTCATTTCAGTATACTGTAAACCGCTTTGCTGATTTGTTGTTGTTGTTGTTGTTGTT